GCTAACTGAAAGTGGGTGAGGAGCACTTACGAAAAGTCTTTACATCGCACCAGAAGGGTTAAGACGCAAGAACACCGTGACATGTATACACAGTGATAGGCAACGCGTCTGTAAACACATTTCCGTTGAAGCAAACGCGCGCAATAGGACGTCCATTGCTAGGCGACGGATCAGTAAGCCGGCCTCTTTAGCAATAGAGGCTGTTTTCTGCGTGTTCAGTGCGAAGTGTGTATAAAGAAGTGTTCGGCAGCATAGACTGGTATAAAACAATAGTCGTGGAGTTTTGAGAAGCCAGCCTGCCGGGATATGAGCTTGGGAGCAAAGGAATTTAATTGAGTCGAGTGTTCGGAAACCGCCGTCGCATAATAATGGAAAAAAAAGAAAAAAAAAAAGAAATTAGACTGTCAATGGTGGTCTTCATGTATGATTTTAAAAGTGACAGTGAGACTATTATAACCCCGTTGTCAGGTTACGACTAGTGAAGACTAAGAACCTTAGTGCGCGTGCAACGGTGAACTGTTAACATGTGCAGATCAGCGATAGAGTTGTATTGCCTGTAGTCCCGAGTTGTGAATGTATAAGGTGTCAATAAATCCAATCCAAAACCTGTCTTATAAATCACGCGCAAACCACCCCTAACACGTGACATGTCCATCTTCATCCTTGCTTTCAGGGTATCCACTCAACGATACTACGTGCTAGTGTTCGGAAGAGAACTCGTAACTGCCCTGCGACCTGCTGGTTCGGGCACCCCTCCCCCTCCCGACAATGAACGACCCACAATCGATCACGCGGCAAATTTAGTGAACCATTTACACGCCATTAACAACTATATCCGCCAACACCTGACCGGATGGTAATTCGCTGCGACAGACTGGCCAGCTCTGCGAGCTACAAGGGCGACAAATTGTGGCTGTATTGACCTACCCGCACGAAAGGGAAATCACACAGGCACCAATTCCCATGGGTGGGCCCATACAGAGTCGTGAAGCGGGTAAACCATGTGGTGTACAGGATCCAGCGGAACCCTAGATCGAGGATGATGGTGGTACACCTGAACCGGCTCGCATCTTATTAGGGATCCGCTCGGGGTTAGCGGCCTTAAGGAGGAAGTAATCTGAGAGTAACCCTCATGATAAATAAGTCACGGGGAAGGAAGGCGAAGCCGATCACAGAATTTACAAGCACGACTCTAGGGAAAGAATAAATGGTGGTACGCCTGTAAGATGTTCTGAATGAATAGCCTTAAGGATGGAGCATCGTGGCATGCAGACCCGCTACTAGATGGCGACCGCGAGTTAGGAGACTGAACAGCGGCCCGCGAACAACATAGAAATGTTGTCTTTTGCGCTGTCCGCTAAGCAGCAATTAACAGCAGCAAAGGAACGGTCTTTTGTGCGTGGTTCGTGTCGAGATATTATAAGCAAGACGAGTTAGGGAGGAGGGTTCAAATATCTCCACCACTGTCCTGCGAATTTTTGGAGGCGAAGAGAAGGGAACCCAGTACCTGGGCGTATAACTGGACCACCCTGTTTCTTGTGGATATAAATATACAAGAACCTGACCCTTCAACTTGGGCGAGTGTCAAATCTGAGAGAGTAAAATATTGTCATGAGTCCTTTGGGTCTCGGGCCTAAGAACTACTGTGTTATCGATGACCAGGAGCAGGGCGCCCCACTTCAACAAACCCGCAACTCTCCAACAGTAACAAAAATATGCTGTTTAGCCCCAGATGGGGCTTGACACCAAGACAGACCGGACGACTGGGCGTCAGTCGTAACATAACTTTTACTTTGTCGTGGAAGTAGTGTAGTGGAGTGAGTTGGTTGGTGACTGCTGCGTTTCAATCCTTGCAAGCTGTTGCTGTGAGAAGCTGGTAGCTGATGCACGGGGACAGTTCGGGAACCCATAGGAAGCAGTTTGCGTGCTGTAGTGAATTGCAGAGCATGAATTTTTTTTTTTTTGGTGGTAGCTGTTATCTTCCAATAGATCCACATCATTGGTATAGATAGACCAGTAGTTGATGTGTCCAATTTAATTTCAGATCCACCTAGTTTTCCAGTTTTCCTGGACCTTTGTAATGACTAATTCTAAAGCAAAGTTGAAACGCAATGGCGATAAAGCATCACCTTGTTTTAGACCATTTTGGATAGAAAACTTATCACACAAATGTTTACCTGAATAGATTTTGCTATAGGTTTCATTTAACACATTTTAATCAGCATAACTTATTTTATGGGTACTCCAAACTATCTTTGATTACTGTACAACATGTCCTTCTTAACTGAATCATATAGGCTTTCTTGAAATCTTTGAATAACTTATACCTGTATGTGCATATTTTCTCATTTTTGAAAACCAGTGAACTTTTTTGCATGCGAGATTCTCACAGCCGTGACTATGAACAATACTATATTCTGGGATATAACACAGCAATTATTTCCTACTTACTTCGTTTTTCCTTTGACCTGATGATGGAGGCATTATGTTCCTCCAAAATGTTGAACTTCTACCAGATTAATCCCAAAATAGAGTACTTTTTACAGTTTAAAAACTGGTTAATTCTGTATATAGCTGCTTTAACATACTAGATCACACACATTCTGTCCTCAGAATGCGCTTGTATGCTTAATGTGGTTCTCGCAATAAACAGCAGTAGCCGATTACCAGGGCCTGGATTTTGATATGTCATCTTTTTTTCCTTGTATCCTATTCAATGCCTGTAAATATATACGAGTAAATCCCGGGGATGAGATGCTGGTTACAGAAATGTAACTTTTATAGGTCATTTTTTCCAGTTTCAGGGTAATTTTTTGACTTTTAAGGCTAATTTTTGTCATGTTATTTTAGGGAATTTTTCTTCATGTTTTCAGAAATGTGAATAATATGCAAGTAAAGTGTTCTTTCTCTTCTGCCTTTACAAAGGCAGCCTCCAGCTGCACCTCAAATACCTGCTATCACAGTATGTAATAATGTCCCGTCCTTCCCATTCGTTTTGCGGAAAGTGCAGACATTACATATCATAAAACATTTTAAGCTGGCAGCAGGGTACGACAGCAGTCACTCACACTGTGGCCCTTTTCAAGCTCTGTGCAAAGGAATTTGCTTAGTTACAAATATTTCTAGTCGGAATCCCTCGCTTCTTATGACATATTGTTGCTCAATAACACTCCATCAGTCTTCAGATTCTCGCACTTGACGGTACAAAGTTACAATTGACGAAAGGATCTCAGTGTGAAAAGTTCAGTTCTGTGTTACACTAGAGTGGGTCATTTTATCATGATACCTAAAGCAAAGCCATCTAAATTGTGTCGTTTAAAGCAGATTGTAGCTGAATTTGGAATGATATATCTTCAACTGATGGTAACATTGTATACTCTAGGATGTGACAGAAAAAAAAGATTCACAGTACAACATATTGGCCGCAACAAGCATATATGAGTAGTGCAAATTTCAAACAAAAAGAAATCTGTGCAAATGTTACTGCAACAGTGTTCATCTGAAGGCGGAAATAAGTCATTGGATTTTTTCACAGATCTGTGTGATGCTCTGGTGTCCGCAAATATTCCATTTTGTGCTCTGAAAAATTAAAAACGGAAAAAAATTTCTGGAAGTGAATTGTGGTTGTTCCAAGAATCCTGGAAATGATTAGGAATAAAGTGCATGGGAAGCAGATTTTCGTTTCCATTAATGACACCTGCGATACGGTGGCTAGCTATGTGGCAAACATAATCATTGGAACCTTGGAAATTGATGGACCAGGTGAAGTGTTTCTGCTTACGAGTGAGGTGCTAGAATCCGTTAATCATTCCATAATTTGTAAACTCTTTGACAGGCCGATGATTCTACTGTGGCCAGAGGGTATATGACACGACAATGTCTTGCTCTTTGTGACTGATGCAGCCCCATATATTTTAAAAGCAGGCAAGTCAATAAAGTCGTTTTATATGAAACTGGTGCTCACTTGCCTAGCTCATGCACTGCATATAGTGACAGAGAAAGTGAGATCAAGATTTCCTCAGGTGGATGCTCTCATGTTGCGGGCAAAGATTTTTTGTCAACGCTCCAGCTCGTAAAATGCAGTTTAAGTCTATGGCTCCTGGTGTTCCCCTGCCCCCGGAACCCGTCATCACAAGGTGGGGAATGTGGATTGATGCTACAGTTTACTATTGCGATCATTTTCAGGTAGTGAAGAACACTGTAGATTCAATGAAGACGGAGGATGCGAGGACAAGTGAAGCTGCTCAGGAACAGTTCTCTTGCAGTGAAATGGAAGGACAGCTGGCCTTCATAAAGGCAAATTTCAGTTCCTTGATGGAAGGAATAAAATGCTTACAGGAGAAAGAAGCAACGCTAGAAGAAAAAAAATAGCCAGTGATTTGGACAAAGTGTCAGGGGACATTGGTAAAATTGTGTCAAGAAAAATGAAAAATGTTCTAGATAAAAACTCAGGTTATGAAACACTATGCAGCATTTCTCAAATTCTAACGGAAGAGTTCAGCACTTTCAATATTAAAGAGGAACTTACTGCTAGTGATTTGGTACACTTCAAGTGCACTCTCATTGTCTGCAGATGTGGAAAGGAGTTTCTCCAAGTACAAGAATGTGCTGTCAGACAACAGGTGTTGTTCACTCACCTTCGAGAATCTCCGCATGTTAACTGTCATCTATTGCAACTCTAAAAGAGGTGGCACTTAAATATTGGAATTTATACCATATATATATATATATATACCTTTGACTAGTGTTCCAACATGGTAGAAAAAATCAAGGTCAAGAAAATGTGGATCTTTACATCTGCTGCCCATGTGCCTTCATGGCATAGTACTTAATTAGTTAAGCACAGGGACCACTTTACTTACAACACCTGTAACAGATGGATGCCAAGGCTTACATCAGGCTGTAGTATCAATGGCTTAAGAACAGAAAGAACTATCAATATTAGTGTGAATGAATACAGTAGTAACTATTTGGTGTCACAATAATAACATCCAATAAAATGAGGAAAACAGTCATGAGTATTCTTTATTTTCAAATTATGGAAATGCTGACAAAAAATTGGAGAAACACACAAAAGGTGAATTTAATAAGGGCAGAAATATTTTTGAGAACTGTGTATTTTTCCATAATTTTCGTTCTGCTTCAGTTTTTGCAATATTTATTTTAATACAATTTGCTGATAGGCCAAAATAACACTGAAAATTAATGTAAGGATATTTCTGCCAGACATAAATTGAATATGATATTACTGCCCTTCACAAACAATGAATAACAAGAAAATCTTTCATTTCATAAATCCTACTTGATTCAGACGACAAAAGTACTATAGAACCCTCTTAAATGTTCATTCATCGTAGAAACAAGATGACAAAAAGCATGCATATCAATGATATATAATGCACTGTTAAATTATGCTGTCCTTTTTTTTTTTACTTCTGTAATATTTAATTGCAAATGTGACCTTAGGCAATCTAAAATCTGAAACTCTAAAATTCAGTTCATCTTACCAGTTTGTTGTTATTGGGAGAATGGGCGGAGGAAAAACAATATATCACTTGCCCTAGGAACTGGACATATGGGCATGGTATTTAATTTATTAGCTTCTAACCATATGGGGAAACATTCTTCAGTAACATTGTTATATCTTCTTGATTTGTCCATGGAGACATTCTGTAACTCTTTGTTTTCCCCACCTTCCAACACAGCACTTTTAAATCAGCAGTCTCTAGTTCCAAAACTTAAAAATTATTACACAATACACTAAAACATTTATATTCTAATTTTGAAAAAGCTTAAATGTGTATGCTGCCACATCTTAACATCCACAGTTCCCTCACAATTATGGCAGTAGAAAATTCAGATCTATGTGGTAGGACTGGAAGTAAACTTTGTAGGCTGGATAATGGACGTCTTGCGGACAGGCACAGTCTCTGGTGTCGGGATTGCGTCACCTGTTGCATATCCCAGGACTGCTGGAGCTTGGCGTGCTTTTGCAGCAGACTTTTGCTTGGCCATTTGGTAATCTCCAGAATCAAAGTATTTTTGCTATCATCAGATAAAAATCATATGAAAATAGGAAAATTAATGAAGAGTTCTCTATCTTCTAGAATATAACATTATGTGGCCCACTGAAAATCAACAGATGGTTCACAGGAAGCAAGCTAGCTACTTCATGCTGGCTGACTGTCAACAGTCTACATGGCATTATAACCCAGAAGACAGAACTCTTCATAACAACTGCTGTGAGAAACAGGAAAATATTTATTCCTAATATCTTACATATCTAAAAAAATCATGTATTTTCCATACACATCTTTTCCTACAGAATTTGACTTTTTTCCTACCAAACATATATTAAAATGAAATGAAACTGCAATATACCTTTACAATAAGAAACACATTAAACAGAAAGTTTCAAAATACAAAACCTCCAAACATGATAATGCTAAAGAATGGATAAATCTTTGAAATTCTGTGCTTTTGCCAACAGATGTATAGGTGTACTTCTGAACACCAAACTGCAGGGCATTTCTTAAAATGTGTTCTACATCCCTTATTGATGTTAACTTATTGCATGTTAAATGAAACACATCAGCTGCTGGTCTATGCTGATGATGTGAATCTACTGGGTGATAACACAGATACCATAAAGAAAAACACAAACTTTAATTGATGCTACTAAGGAGGTTAGTCTAAAAGTAAATGCAGAGAAAACTAAGTATATGTTGCTGTCTTGCCACCAGAATGCAGAACAAAATCATGACATAAAGATAGCTAACAGACCCTTTGAAAATGTGACACAGTTCAAATATTTGGGTAAGACAGTAACAAATAAAAATTTGATTCAGGAAGAAATTAAGAGGAGACTGAACTCAGGTAACGCTTGCTACCATATGGTCCGGAACCTTCTGTCTTCTTGTCTGCTGCCTTAAAACATATAAATCAGAATATGCAAACTATAATTTTGCCTGTGGTTCTGTATGGGTGTGAAACTTGGTCTCTGACACTAAGGGAGGACCACAGGTTGAGGGTGTCAGAGAACAGAGAAGAGAGATGGAGCAGTTGGAGAAAACTGCCTAATGAGGAGCTTCATAACTTGTACTCTTCATCAAGTATAATTAGAATGACCAAATCAAGGAAGATGAGATGGGCAGGGGATGTAGCATGAATGGGGGAGAAGAGGAATGCATATAGGATATTGGTGGGAAAGTCAGAAGGAAACCACTAGGAAGACCAAAATGTAGGTGAGTGGATAATATTACAATGAATCTTAAATCCACCTCATCAGGACTCAAACCTGTGACCTTCCAGCTTGTAGCATAGTCCCTCAATCAACTACGCTACCATATGCCCCTCTAAATGATTGTAACTCTCTTTTACAGTAATTTATTACAAATCAACTAGATGTAATAGCAGAAAGAATAAGAATGCTCACAATGAAGACGTATTGTAGTGAAACATCCATTTAATGTTCCTCCTGGGGACAAATGATTGAACACTAGATTGAGAAAAGATTTCAATGGAGAAAACTTAACAGTCAGGCAATGGGGCTTAAATCATAAATTAACAGTAATGTAAGGAAAACCTTCAATCAAAAAATATTACACAGAGATTCCACTCTACTGGAATTTCATGAAGTAACATCATAAATACGGACAAAAAAAAAAGTGTAAACTTTCTTACCCGATTTGCAAGCCTCTTCTGCAAAAACACAGAGTGGCCACTCATAGGTCTTCCTGCCATTGGAAATTTGGCTTTCAGCTTAGCTTCTTCCAGTTTTTCTATATCTGTTGTTGAAATCTGTTATAACAAGGGTTACATTCTGCAGATTAGTACTCTCATCTTGCACCACTAGAAAGTAGCAGTGAAATTCAGTATTTCAAAAATCCTTTAATTAAGCTTACTCAAATGTTGTACAAATCTAGAAGCTACATCCAAAAACTAGAAACTGGATTAAAAACAAAATACCTCAGGTGATAAATCTGCTTGTGTTAATAAAGAAGGCATAATTACAACATATACATGTAGATTTTAGCCAGTCGTTCCATGCTGCTGCTTGGGCATGATGAGGGGAATGACAACGGCACAGGCATATAAATGCAAGGGAAAGGAATATGCAAAGAAAAGATAAGAGATAAAGAATACAGGACTGGATGAACAGGGTTGACAGTATTTTTAAAGTAAAAAGGGGAGAAGGAAAGGGATGACAAACAGGACACAAAAAAGATGGAAAAAATAAGTGAGAGGTGGGATGGGCTAATGATATGAAAGAGGTAAAAGAAAGGATCACAGAAAATACTGGCCTGCCATCTCTGATGGGTCATGTGCTAGTAGTAATATAATGGAAGGAATTTTAGATGCTATCATAAAAATGTTGGGAGTCATGGCAATGTGGGGCATGGATTTGTGCAGGCTTGCCAGTAATAATACTTAAATGCACTTGAACCTATATAATGAAGAAGTATTAGTAAAGAAATAATTCTCTTATATTAATACAGATAGCACAGTGGGTCAGTAGCATATACATAACACTGTAGTCACTTTAAACGCTTCCATCTCACATTTAGAGTTGAGTATACCTTCAAACAGATCCCAGCCCAGGACATATCGACCATCTTGGTTCCAAAGAAACATTTTATATTCAGCCTTAGGCGCTCAATATCAAACTGAAACAGTGATGTTACAGCTAACTAAGCTGCACCGATTTTACAAGAACCCTATAATACTAACAAGAGCATTTTATTTGTACAAAAAGTTTCTGTTCATTGTTTTTAAGTAACCTGTACACTGCGCAATTCAGAAATTTTGAAACTACATTCCTTATAATTCATGCATCCAGAACTTCATCCAACTGGCAAACATTTTGAAGAAAATTTACCATTTTTAAAAAGTTGCTTCAAAAACAAATTTGTGGTGCACTATGCAGTATTTAGCCCAGCTGTTAATAGCAGCACTTCCCATTCCTGCTCACACAGGTGTCTTTACAGTACAGGGTAGCAGTCACTTCATAATCACATTACTGTATACATACCCAAAATACTTAACCCATGCTATGTCACCTATGAAAACTCCCACACAAAAATCTAAAGTGAAGAATGTATTGTTTTTAGGTGTATTGAGTTCCTGCAAGAGTTTTGCTCATTCTCATGGCAGGTTCCATTAATGCCATATAAAGGGGACTTTACTGTACTAATGCTGGATTAGTCCTTCTTTGAGGGTGAGTTCCATTTATTTTAATGAATATGTAATCAAATGAAATTTCTGACATCAAGTGCTATACTGCAGTTGTTCCAGCAAAACTAAATTAACAATTATCATTATTTACACAGACAAATATCTCAAAACACTCTACTACTTTGTATATAAAACTAAGAAGAGATGTAAATTTTTAAGCATTCTGAAAGAATCTTGCCCTTTCCATCATAATATACAGATAGAATTGTCACAATTCATTCATTCATCCGTAATCTGTCAAGACGACAGGTCCACAGTCTCTTCCAAAACAGTTCCTCCACTTGATGCGATCTAGAGCTTTCTCCTTCAAATGAAAATATCCTCTTCTGTCCCCAAGGTCATCCAGCATCTTCTTACGTCTTCTGGTCACTTCTATCTGCCCCTCTATCTTTCCTTCAATAACTTCTTTTAGAAGGCAGTTACTGCGTAAGATATGACCAATCCAATTAGCCTTCCGTTTTCTTATTTCGTGGATATTCCTCTGCTCACTGGCTCTAAATAACACTTCTTCATTTCTCACATAATCGGTCCAACTGACCTTGTCCATCCCTCTCCAACACCACATTTTGAAGCTTTCCAGGTGTTTCTGATCTACTGCCCTAAGTGTCAAAGTTTCAGCCCCATACAAAGCCATACTCCAAATGTAGCATTTCACTAGTTTCTTTCTCAAATTTAAGTCCAATTTGCTGGTAAAAAGATTCTTCTTCTTGCTAAATGCAGCTTTTGCCATGGCAATCCTAGATTTAATTTCACACGTACACCTTCCATCATCTATTAACAAGCTACCCAAATATTTAAAACATTTCACATTCTCCAGTTGTTTTTGGTCTATCTTTATTGTGACTGGGGTTGGTTGTCACAATACTTCAATTAAAATTTAACAGAAACAAAGAACTGTTTTGAAAGCAAAACCAAAGTGAATGATCATTATCTGATTACATGTCATGCTGGGAATTGCACAATCATTACCAACAAGGTACCTTTCACAGAGGACTCTACCAGGAGTTTGAAGTTTATGATAATAACACTCATACTTTATTATGGATTACAGCAAGTATATTACATTACACATTTCATTTTTGTATTTCATTCTATCATGAGATGATGTTTGTAGGAAATGATATACATCTGTATAAGGCAATTATGCAGCAAAACACATCACCTACCCAACAAAGAAAGATGAACAAGCGAACACCAAAGTGTATAAAAAACAGACCTTACCTACTGATTTTCACAAGTCTGTTCTTCCTTAGTTAGTAGAAAGTAAACAAAAATCTTTGCACCATAGCTCAAGCGGTTAGTTGCTGGCTTCCCACCGTGGCGACCTGGGTTCGATCCCTGCTCTGGTCAAGTGGGATTTGTGGTGGACAATGTGGCGCTGGGGCAGGTTTTCTCCGAGTACTTCGGTTTCCCCTGCCCATCTTCATTCCACCAATTGCTCCACAATCACCCTCACCTATCATCTGGGGCTGGTACAAGAGGCCAGAAGTGGCCACAGTGTAAGGGTCTTAGTCACACCCCATTAGCAATAAAAAACAAACAAAAATCTTCCTTTTCTGGTTTTACTGAACTAAAATTTTTTGTGAATCATGCTTTCAATAGCATATGTGAAAAGCAGTATAATAAAACAACTGAAGGACTGAAGGATCCAGTAACATTACAAACTTAAATAATGTGTGACCTATTTCAAACATAGCTGAAGGCTATACATGTCATATGTATCACTGTTAATCAGTACTTGTATCATACGCGTTGTTCTGTTCGGAATTTTCACCGTTCCAAACATTACGCATACACTCACATTTTCTGGTGTATTTTCTTGATCTCTCTCAGTTTCAGTTGTCACAGTTTCATCACAGGTTGTCATACTTTCCTCTTGATTAGACATTGCTTTCAGATCAATTCACTCCTGCGGATGGAAAACATAAAACTCCTCTAGAAGTCAGAAAATGCAAGCACGAAAAACTATCATATTTTACTTTCTAATTTCGTAATGCAATTACGGCCTTGACACAATGGCGAGTTCGTCAAAAAATACTGTAACTGTAAATCTCAATATCAGTTGATTACAATCTATCCTGAAAATATCCTTGGAATCAATATGCTGCTGCCATACAAAAACATATACATAGACAGGACAATAACAACACCTTAATCCAACCTATTGGTAGAAAAAAATTCTAATGACTCATTCAAATATGTATGGCAAACTTAATTCACACACCTTGTACGGCACAAATTAGCCTACCTAGCTCGACCTAGCTCGTGATATTCGTAAAAAGTAGACGTTGTTCCTAAGAATCTGCCACGGATTACGAGCAAATGAGACCGCCTGGACCGTTTGGACGAACTCAATCCGTGTCACGGATTAACACATACCAATCTCGTTATGATATCCGTTGACCGTTTCTATGGGCATGACGGACAGCTATTCGTATGAGACTGGCTTTGTGAGTCAATAAAATGATTCTTGGATGATATTGCTACCATAGGATTTATTTCCCTGAGTGAAGAGATAATATTTAAAGTTAAAACTTACTCGTTCTTATAAGTGTACTTTAGGGTTATTTTTCAAGTAATTACCAAATAAATTGGAGGGGGGACCAAGCAAAAATATGTAAACAATGTTCAAAGTTACTCGTTTTTATAAGAGTACTTTAGAGTCATTTTTCAAGTAATTACCTAACAAATGGGGGGCATCAAGCAAAAACATATAAACGACGAAAAAGATTAACCCTTTTCGGTCCTATTTAATTACCACTGCCGTACTCTGCTGGTCTTGTTTAAATGCCACTGAACTATTTAATTGCAGCTACTACTTTCAGAATGAGGATGTGATATCGCTCGCAGGATGCGCCCCAACCGTACATCGACGGGTTCAGGATATATGTGTTTCTCTTTTTCGTTCGGGAGACTGACAATTGATGGCATATTAAGGTGGGTGAGAGAGAAACCTATAGTTAACGGGAGTCGGAACAACAACAAACTGCACACAAGTGACGATATAACGAAAACGGTTAACAAAGATAATTATAACCACCATGACGACGCCAACGAAAACTACTTTTTGTTGGAATTCGACAGTTTAAATCTTTGTCACCGTTCGTCGAAAGCGCTCGCTGGACTGTGCTCTTGGTAGTATAATTATCTGTGGCGCTTGACCCTGGTGCGCTCTGGTGTTTGTGTTCTGTTTACGTTGAGCGCTGGAGTGAGCGGGAGTGAGGTTAGTGAACATTGGCTCTGAAATGGCGGGACTTTCACAGGTAATTAATTTTACATTTGCATTAAGGAATACAATACTTTGTAATATATTATCGTGATATAATCTGTAGCTCCTTGTATTGTTATTATGTATTGCAGTGTAGGCATAAACCAGCTACGTATAAAATCAAGAACATTTAAAAATTTCCCACTTTCACTTGTCAATTGCAAGTTCTACCAACTCCGAAATGGATGATTACCAGAAAAATGAAACGATATGTTCTTGCACAAACTCCTATTGATTCACAATTAATTCATTCGGTTGGAAGCAGAATATGTAACATGATGTTACCTTCTTAGAAACCGTAAATAAACAATTGACAAGAACTTAATGCATTTAGGAACTAGTAACAATACAGTAAGCAAAAAATAAAAATTTATACCCTAGAAATAACAGACTGAATTGCCTGAAGTAGTCCACAGCTTGAAGAGAAAAAAATCTGTAGGACTTGATGGCATCTCACCTTTTTTGTTAAGGAAATGTGTGCCTTACACGTTAAAGTCACTTCTAGAATTTGTGAGTGCTTCAGTTAGAGAGGGCATCTTCCCATCCAAATTAAAAAGAATCAGTATTTAAGCGAGTAAAAAGTACATGCATATGACACTAGAAATAATGATCATCATAGGTATGTATGTACATGATATGAGAATGAAGTTCACAAACTCATCATGGTAAAAGTGCTACATACCTCATTGCTGAATATCACTGTGGTCGTCTTCAAAGTACTCTCCTTGGGAAGCTATGCACCGATGCCAGCATCTAGTCCACCCTTCAAAACCATTTTGGAACTGGTTTTGTGGAATGGTCTTCAGAGCTGCAATTGTATTACTCCTGAAGTCGTCATTGTCATTGAAATGCGTTCCTTTCAATATTTCCTTTATCTTCAGGAACTGAATTAAGTCAGAGGGCTAGATCCAGTGAATAGGGAGGGTGTTCCAGGACAGTTATTTGTTTACTAGATAAAAACTCACTCACAAATAGTGTTCTTCGGTGAGCTCCTTTGGGACCATTTTTGCACACACCTTCCTCATGTCAAGATCTTCAGTTAAGGTTTCCCTAACTATTTCTCTGTTGTTCACTTGCTCTGCCGTGCCAACAATTATCATGCACAATTTGAAGAACTCTTGCAATGTTTTCTTCAGTTCTACTCGTTGCTGGCTGTCCTAATCTTTCTTCATCAGTGACACTTTCTCTTCCCTCAGAAAACTGTGTCACCCTCTTGTAAATTGCTGTTTTCTTCATAGCATTATCCCTGTAAACTTGCACTAACATCTGTCATATTTCACTTCTACTCTTGTTAAATTTAACAAGATTTAATGTTCGTTCTTTGCTCTAATTCAAGCTCTGACATTCTTGCGACTGCACACCAAAACACACTCTGACAATAATAGATGCCACTCAGAAAGAGACTGCCATAGATCATCATCAACAACAACAACATCAACAAGAAAGCTGTGAAATGCAGAAATGCCAACGTCATTAATCCATACTGAGGTTTCTGTCCACTGCTGCCATGGCAGGTGGCAAATGCGTGAATTTTATTGTCAGACCTTGTAATTTAGAGCTTTATAACAGTAACCGTCAGTAACATGTTTTATCTTCTGTAACAAATTGCCTAACAACATAAAACAAATAGGTTACAATAATCAGTTTAAAAAGGAATTAAAGGACTTAATAATAGAAGTTTATCTGAAAGAAGAATTGTGTAATATTGGCTACTGATAAGCAGGTGTATAGAATAAGCTATGTTTGTTATAAGTTCATACCATAAACATTAATGTATTTTGATAATAATATAGATGAACATGTCCTATATCATTGTATTTTGATCTGCAGGGTAAAATAAAAATTAAATGAATAAATTTTGTATTTCTTTGCTTTATTTTGAGCATTAGTTGTGTTTTCCACTCATATGACTAATTATGGCCTTCAAGACTAATATTACATGGTGTAAGACATTTTAAGGTAATAAAATAAATATGCCATACTTCCTTAGTTCTTAAAACTTAATTGACATCCTCCTCAACCATAAAAATGGAGGTAATACATTTTTCAGAAACATTAGGAAACTTTTATCATACCATATGGTTTCACATCACAGAATTTGGTGCTGTTGTGAAGTATGATGGCTTTCACTACCCTCTTTCCATTTCAGCCCAATGTGAGGAGCAGAAAATTTGATTTAGTATGGATGGTACCTTTTAAAGTGAAAGAGTATAGAACCTATCTTTTCATAAAACTGAATGTGCCATAGGACCTGGTCAAGTTTTTGGTTTCTTGGTTTATTTAATGATGCTTTCAGTAGCTAGGCTTTTATGTTGAATGGTTTGATGATAAAGAATAATGAAGTTCAAGGAATTTGGATGGAAATGGTCATGTCCTAGTTTGAGATACTATCCCAGCATTTGTTTGGAGGGAGTGAAGAAAACCTCGGTCATGATAGCCAGTCTCTGGACCAAGATTTGATCCCAGGTCCTACTGAATATGAAGTAGAAGTACCAACCACTCCATCATGATGTTCAGTGTGCAAGTTCATTAGTAGTTTTTGTATGAATATATGGCCAGTTTGGCATTGGTATGCCAAGAGAAAGCAGTAGTTTCTCTAAATAATTTTAATATGATGTAGAAATGATTAATTATTCCATTGATAACATTTCCATTGCTTGGAAATTTTGTTTTCACTTTTTATTTGGAATACTTAAATGATAACTGAATATGGATTATTAGGAAGCAGAAAGAACTGAATATGGATTATTAGGAAGCAGAAAGTAAGACTTCAATGTTAATTCAATCTTACATTTCTGTAATGTGTTTTCCATTACCTTTTCAGTTCACTCATGAGTATGGACTACAGACCGTTCACGTACAACAAAGTAGCGGTGCTGATAATGATATTGACCAAGTTATCAGTGTCCTGACACAAATACAAGAAGAATATAAATCAGCAGGTTGAGTACTTTGAATGCTAACAGTTCTACATTTTTGGTCATTTTACTCTTCTTCCCATGAACATTACCTGTTTAGTCCGTAATATTATTCTTGTATGTACATAGTAAATAATCTGTTAAAGGTAACAGCCTAAATTTTCTAATGAACCAGCTTTCTCCATCAGTAGTTTTACTTATTACATAACCTTTTAATTGCACCATCCTTTTGCATTTAAAGCTGTGAGTCCTTTCACATGCCATAGAAGAAAAGTCCACATTCTTAATATGAGTGGCTGAGATATGTAATATATAAAATGATTTATTTCAGCATTTATAATTTAAGATCTAATCCATTATTATGATCCATCTCACAGATGGATTATGCTGTGCTTGTTTTATGAACCCTTCTGAAACTGGCATAGTTGTCTGGAGATAGGGGCTAGCTCTGTCTATTGGACCCAACTGAGTAGGTTTTACCTGAAGACGGGGACAGATTCCAGTTCCCGAAACGTTGTGTTTTTGATAGAAACTAGACGGGTTTTTTTCTGAGAACAGACAAGATGAGGGATAATGTCCAGCAACATATTAATTGTAACAATTTATAATTTAATTTATAATTTCAAAATTGTGCATATTTCAAACAGCAGAAACATCAAGTTGAAAATTGATAATTGAACACAATTTGTGATAGTGATATCCATGCCTGCACAAATACCAGGCATCAATTCACTATGACACATGGAATTTTCTTCTACTTTCATGTGATGGAGTGACTATATACAGGTTTTGGATTAATGAGTCGATTTATTATTGTACACTTTGAGACAGTGTGTGACTACACTTTACAGTTCACTATTACACACACACCACTGTCCAAAGTCACGTCTTCACTGCTGTTGCTTGGTAGCAGCTTCCAACTTCAGATGTTCCACCTCCTCTGGGTTCCTGAATGGTCCCCGCCCTCAAGTACCAGCTTCTACAGCAACAGCTCACGAGGACTGAACTGCAGCCATCCTATAACTCATTCACTCCCTGCAACAGCTAACTGGCCCTGCTTATAACATCTCAGCACAGACCTCATAGAAAACATCTTTTCCATTATGTAAGATTTGTGGTTTTCATGGCATTGACTATAAAGAAAGCAGTCTTCTGGGATGTGTGTTTCACAGTCATTGCTTAGCAACAGGTGTACATGCCACACTATAATATTGCTACTATTGTATGACCCATAAAATATGAACTGGTAATTCCTACAACACATATATTTTTATTGTCTGCATCCTAGTGTGTTACAATATGGTTTTTTGGCCATCAACAAATTTTCAGACAAAACCAGTCCAACATCACTGTACTAACATTGGTTTTATTTCAACATCTGCTACATGTTTAATCCATGTTTGGATCATCAGGCAGTTTCTTAAATAAATTGCTTGTTATTGAATTGTCCTAATATGGATTTATATTATTATTATTTTTATATTCCATTGATACCTATATCTTGTCATAACAGATGTTGATGTTCTGTTATTATAGTTAACCTTGGGACTGAAATTATTTAAATTATTATTTGTGTGTCATTGATACAATGTGGGTTTCTGTGATGCTTGTCATATATTAGAGTGTGATAATGTCTTCTGGGTTTAATTGTTAATGTTTGTTTTATCTGAAAGCAAATTAATGTGTACTATTATAATCTGTGTTATGAGTAGTATGTACTTACGAGGGTAAGTCAATAAGTAAGTTACAAATGGATATAGAACTTAAACAAATAAGAGTTTTGATTGAAAAATGCTTTCATTACTCAACATAATCTCCCTGTACACTGAGACACTTGTCCCATTGTTTCACAAGCCCCTGAAAACCAGCAGCATAAAATTCTTTGGGCTGCTGTCAGAGCCAGACGGTGACTTCTCTTTCTACAGTTTCATCGTCAGGAAAATGTTCAGCCAAAGATGATGTTTAAGAGGGCAGAACAAATGGAAGTCGCTTGGAGCAAGGTCGGGGGCTATATGGAGGATGCTCAAGGACTTCAAACTTGAAATTTCGCAGCGTCTCATTTGTCTTGTTGGCAGTATGGGGACGCGCGGTGTCATGCAAGAGCAACACGCCTTTGGTGAGGAGTCCTGTTCGCTTCCGTTGAATGGCCGTATGAATTTTCCTGAGGATGTTACAGTAGGAGTTGGCATTTACAGTTTGTCCTTGAGGCTGGAATGCAGTGCGCAGTATGCTTTCGGGATCCCAGTCACCGCCTGGTTCCGACAGCAGCCCAAAGAATTTTATGCTGCTGCTTTTCAGGGGCTTGTGATACGATGGGACAAGTGCCAAAGTGTACAGGGAGATTATGTTGAGAAATAAGAGCTTTTTTCAAATCAGTACTCTTATTTGTTTAAATTCTATATCCATTTGAAAACTTACTTATTGACTTACATACGTATATTGCATGGTATTGTGACATGTTGATCCCTACCGCCCCAGCTCCACGTAGCGGTAACTTAGCGCTCGCGTAATAGGCGAGTAATCACCCCGCAATGCGCAACGCGTGGTGACGTCACGAGCGGAGCCGAAGAGAGC